TATTCATTGATATAAGAAAAAAACGCGAACATTTAGAAACGAACTTTAATTTTCGATGAGTTAAAGTTTATTTTGACTGGAATCGTTAGTTTTACTAATTCCTTTCAAAATCAAGGACATTTTATCTCCTTTTTGTTGAAATTACTATGAAAGCATGTTACTCTTAGGATTCTCATATCAAAGCTTATTTTCTGGATTAAACACCCACTTTATCATGATTTGTGACAACACAGTTACAGATTTAAGTTTTTTACTAACTCACCTGAATAATATCTTCAATCAGTTAAACAGCAGAGCTTATGTAAGGTTTCATCAAGTGTATCAGAACTCCTGATTGGTTAGACGGTGTTTCTTTATATAAGCGAGTCGCTATTTGGTTCGATGATGAAATCTACGAAAGCCGACATGTGACTCACAGAAAGTTGCCGATTGGCCCCTTCTACAAACGAGCCAAGTGGACCAACGAACAAAACCTTTTGATTTACAGGAAAAGAAAATTATTCCTTCTTAACCTTTTTGAAAAGTTTTGGTAAAAACATTTAACGATGGTATTCGTTTTCAGTAACTTAATTAAATCATATATTTAATACACAGTGAGTTAGTTATTTATATATTATTTATTTCATTACATATACAAAATTGAAATAGAGATTTTCGAGAGGTTCATTAGAGAAGCATGATGTTTATGGAATAAGTCACTCTTTCGCATTGCTCAACAAACCAAAGATTGTATTAAAAAAAAAACCTTTTGAAGATTTTGAGGTAAGTATTCCACACGATTACTTTGAAAGAAAGTTACTTTAAATATAATTTATGACAAATATTCTCAGTTTTACCCTTTTTTGCAATTACATTGAAATTTATCCACTCATTAGTATATTCCTTACAAATTACATTATCTTTAGAAACCGTACATAACTTATTCAGTGGACACTGATATCGTTAAGGAGAATGTGGTAATATATCGTGGTTACATGAAATTATAACGATATGTTATCGTTTTTTCGCGATCTAGTCTCCTCCGATGTAGTAGGCGACTTAAAAGTGCACCAATCACAGTTGTTCAAAGCAGCCAATCATAGAGAAGCATATTTAATCGTTCCTTAAGACTTTGAGGACATCCACACAACACACTGTTGTGATAATCTAGATAGGATGCTTTATGATTTTCTGATCGCATAAAGCCTGAAAAATTCTGCTTTGTAAAAAGGCTCAAATAAGCGGATTGGGACGAACGAAAAGTGGGCGCGTGGAGAAAAGTGGGAATGGCGCACTACAGCCATGTGTCAATTGTTCACCATTTTGCTCTCTAGTTAGAGTCCGCTGGAAACAGGTTTAATAAACTGCGCAACAGTGGCTATGCAGAAGGTCGCTTACATGCTAGATCAGAAATTTAGACGTCCACTGGAACTAATTACCGTCGCATAATGCTATTAACGAACGCTGTTTGATTGACAAACAAGAGCTAACCACCAAGTTATCTGAGCTGTAATAAACCGCAAGTAAACCATAAGCGACCTCCTCGTAAAAAAAACATGTTGCAACCTCTGAAGGGAGCACCTGTATTATTTTTAATGTGTTACTCATTGGAGAAGAAATGTACCAGAACTCACAAAGGAACAGCTGGAAAAGCCTGCGCATGCTCAGGCATCAGGCGCAAGGCACGTGCTTCATTCAAACAACACAACATGACGAAAAACCGAAACACAACGTTCTTTAAGAGAAAGAGAATAAAACTATTTGAAGTTGTTTCGATATAGGAATATGCTTGAAAAGTCAAGTACATGTTTGTGATTTATCTCAAATAGAAATGACATGATTATTGTAGTTACCTATTTACTCGGAACCATTGCCAAACGAATTTTTCTTTTCCCATTAAAAAGAAAAACTTGATAAACGACCTCGCGTTTTGAGATCACCAGAGAGATCACAAAAGGCAAAGGTCTCGTGCATGCATCAAAATAAAGCTATTTCAGCTGTAAAGGAAATCATGAAACACTCCATTTCGTTCTTGTCCTGCCCGGTCGGAAGAAAAGAGATTTTAAATAGCTGAATGTAGTAAATGAGACTAAGAGGTGACTAAGAGGTGAAGTTATAAGGAACATATCCTTACCTTTCTTTGGCAGATAAGCGTTCTCTATCTGAAACAAACGAGAGAAAAAGCTTTGATCAAAACACGCCCAGCTTTTTATCACAGCACTTAAAACAAAAGGGCGGCTTGGTTATCAAAAAATCACACTAATGTAAAAGCGGTTTGGCCGAAAAGTTTGACGAAACGAACGTACGGGCACGAAAAGCGTAATTGTTGTTTCTAAAGTCCTCCTTCTCCTAATTAGCCGGTACTTTCGACGAATTGCGCTGTCCAGTAAAATGACAATATTTAAAGGAAAAAACAAACAGCCACAAATGCGAAATTTGAAAGACTGGGTTGTGTCATTTAATAAGCTTTTCTGCGCGGGCAAAGTGTTGCAAAAAAAAATGCATTAGTGGTGAAGACCGCTTCTGATCAAGAACCGACGACACGATTCTCGTAAAACGTTCTTCTCCCATTGCCCC